ACCCCTACAAGCTGGTACTCAAATCCATAAGCTGTCTTTGTTGCCTTGAACACAAGGTGAGCCATATAATTTGTCAGATAAGGGGTTTTTTGCCACTCTCAAAGAGTTTAGGGGGTTGTCTGCTGCTGATTTAGGTTGAGGGGCTAATTTGTGTCCTCTCTCTCAGATGACTATATTAGAAGGTTTTAGGTCAAACTATAAAAGACATAACCCATGAGCATTATTTTCTTGTTATCTTTTCATTTACTTATACTCCACCTTTCAATAGTTTTTCCTACAACGCCGTTAAGCTCACATATTTTATTATTATACTTATCCATCTACCCATATTCGGCCTCACTTTCTTGCTCTCTCTCTCTCTCTCTATATATATATATATATATTAACAATTTGTTTGTTGTTATTTTTCTTCCCTTGTCCTCCCACTTATTAAATTTTCCAGTGACACCATCTTTTAATTTATCGTCTCACCTTTGCTCGCTCTAAACTATGTCTGATAAGCTTGCCCCTTTGTAGCATTTTTGAGGTAAGAAGAAAGGGTTGAGAGAGGATTTAGAGGAGAAGGAGAGACACCCAACATAGAACATAACATAAGGCCATAAACATGGAAGGGTGCAGGCATTCACCCAACCGGAGAGGAGAAACCATGCTTTCTCTCTCTCTCAATTTTCACTCAATTTCGTCTTTCCTTTTTATAGAGGAAGGTTACACATAAAACAATAATATTTTTCTACCCAAACAATAATTATTAACTACCTAAAACATTGGCTAAAATGATGAAGTTTGCTGCCATTTCTTGTAGCCCACGTGAAGCTCCATGCTGCTGTCATTTTGCTGCTACTGTGCAGTCATGTTGCAGCTTTCATGCTGTAGCTCCAACACCCTTTCCCTTCTATATTAATAACTTGTTTGTTATTATTATTTCCTTTTATCCTTGCCTAATAGTATTCTTAGTTACCCCTTGCATCTTTATCTATTATTATATATCTTATTAACCCAATTTTCTCTCTCTATTTATCATTGGATATTTTTTGTTTTCTTAAGATTACAATAATTTTAAATATCAGTAAATCACAAATATTGTAGTAATTTGCAATAAATTTATAAACATATCCACAAAGTTATAAGTTTTAACCAATAAAAGATATAAAGCCTACATTATCTCCCTCCTTTTCCGTCTTTATATTGCGAAGTTATTCATCATTGTTCTTTTTCTCATTATCCTCTCATCTCTATCCTTCTTTTTTAGTTATTCCTTTAAATTTTTTTATGTATCAAAATATATCTATTTTTTTACACCATTTTTTCTGTGTTGATGCATTTTTCACTCACCTATGCTTCACCTTTCATTAATTTTTCTTGGGATTCCATTTCTTAGCTTATTCTCTCACATTTAATATTTATCTGTTTACTCAACATTTGCCCTCATTCTCTCTCTCTCTCTCTATATATATATATATATTAATAATTTGTTTGTTATTAATTTTTCTCTTCTTATCCTTATTCTCTCAATATTATTCTTCCCCAGTCACTTCTTGCATCTTTATTTATTATTATATATCATTTTTACCATAGTTTCTCTCTCTCTCTCTCTCTCTCTCTTTTTCTTAATTAATATACTGAAAGCGTGTAAGGGCTTTTACTTTACCATTTTTATAATTTTTGATATATAGTTTAGACTTTTGATAAAGAGAATGTTAAAACGTTTTTAGGTTTCTCGCAAAAGTTCCTTGTAAGTGTTCTTACTTCCTGTTTATGCTTACGTGGTTCATTTATAACTCATTCTCTACTTTTTAAATTGGACTTATAAGTTGATAGTAGTCATTATAAAGTGATAGTTGACACACATTCGTTATACGTACTACAATTTGTTGCTATTCAAAGTTTTTGATATTTTATTAATCATTGTTAAGAAATACATTTATCTAGAATTATTTACATCCTAGTCATTACTCCCTTAGTCTAAGAATAATTGAGAAAATAAGAATCAATTTGTGAAGTGCCTCTTTGAATATAATATAATTTGTGTCTATGCTAAACACATTATCTAATTGAAATAGAAGTTGAATTATATATTTACATAAGTTGTTTTCAACTTTAAAAATATTTAGATGTAAAAGCCATATTATTTTATGGTAATTAAAGTGGAATTTAATAAAAATTAGTAAGAAGTTTGATATAATTAGAGTATTATTAAGTATTATTATGTGGAGAATTAATCTAGTAAGGAATTATATGTATCGTGCTTGTCAAGAAATTTGAAAGGGCATTAATATAATTTAATTAGGTTTCAAGTTTCTCAATGAAGTTTTTTAAGAGTTCCATTTAGTATTTATTTGAGGTTTTAGAAAGATTTTAAAAGACTCATTTGGTATTTATTTGGTATTTATTGAAGATTTTAATAATTTTTATAATATAGTATATATATATATATTTGGGTACTAATCTCTTGAAATCCGGTAACCACATTGGGTCTCGACTAATCTGGAATCGAGCTGCGTCATACTCCATTAGAGGGGAGGCTCTCTCAGTGCCTGTGTCTCTATTCACAAGACTTGAACTCGAGATTTTGTTTAAGGGGAACCGAACTCTTTCCACTCGGACCAATAGATCGTTAGTTATAATATAGTATTTTGGACTTGAACAAGTTGTAGAATTAATTTGGAATTTAAGTTGCCCAATCAATTGTTGAAGTATAGAAACAGAAGTTATTTGGTTTTTTTTTTTATTATTATTTATTATTTTTTTAATAAATCAATTTGTGGAATCAAATTGAGGTCTTGATAATTAAAATTAAAATTAAAATTATATTTATAATT